CTATCTATCTATCTATCTGTTTATCTGTTTATCTATTTATAAATATATTTGACAAAATTTACCATTTATACATTTATCTATCTTATATACATATATAAGATAGATGGATGTATAAATGGTAAATTTCGTTAAATTTTAAAAAGCGAAGAAAACTTTAAGCAGCAAAAAAAAGTCACATTTGGATGAATATTTATATCACTCTCATCACTTATCTATCAATTTATAAAGTTAAATAAGTCTATTGAAATTGTATTTATTCATTTTTGTATTTCGATTGAGTTATCTAAGTTTATGCATTATTCATGCCTTTATAAAGTATGATTATGACCGTGGTAACGATGCAATGATTTAGTCGACTAATTTCAAATCTATCTTTCTCTACTTCTGTTAACTGCGATATTTTGTTACAAAAATCTCAAATATTGACCAATGAAGTCTCCAATGTCGTCGTCATTATTATTTCGTTTATTTTGTTGATTTGATTTCTTATCAGTGCCAGCTAAAGGTTGCAAATGTTTATGGATATCATAGTTTTAGTTGTATTCTTTATAACTCTGTTTTTGGGCTTCTAATAATGGCTCATTTTATCTGGCTGTGACAAAAAAGGAAAAATCTAAAAAATAATGCGTAAAAGTTGTGCCATTTAAACTGGTTTATCAAAGTTACAACTTTTTCTGAGATAAATTTGAATTCTAATTTTGGTTTTTTTTTCTTTTTTTTTTGAAGAAAAATTAATTTAAAGTTTTTTAGTCGTCTTTCTGGCGTTTTAAAAGTCACTATACATAGATTATTGGAATATTTTTATTTCTTTGTATTGGAATTTTTTTTACTTTACAAGTGCTTAGTATAGTTACTGTAATATAACTCTTGAGAGCAATTACTAGTTTATGGTTGTACTGAAACAGATACTTCTTTATGAAGTGTTACTTCGTTGTAATGGTGATGTTTATTAGCTGGAAACAATTTCTAGTTATCTAGTTCCAGTTCTCTGCATCTGCTGCTCTTGACACTGATTCTTTACTGTTTTTTCAGAAATATTCTACAGTTAGATATATTGTTTATCTATTGAAAACTGCTTTGACTGCTTGGTAAAAACGAGCTAAAAAAGAAACATCACCAATTATGGCTGAAAAATTGATCATTCTAAAATGTCAAGTAATATACGGTTTTTTGTGATTGAATAAGAGTCGTATTTTTTTCTTTTCTCTAATTTTTTGAAAAGTTTATTTTTTGGAGATAAGAATAAGTTAAAAGGCTGTCTATAAAAATGTATGCATTGGCAGGAAATACCAAAGAAAAAAAAACCTTCATGTTGTTTTGAGATTTAGAATTGCTTATATGTTCCTTTTTATTTCATTTCTGATTATTTTTTATGATTAATAATCACTATATAGTTTTAAGCAATATTTGGTGCAGTTTTATGTGTTTAGACTATTTCTTATAGCAGAGCAGGTAATGAGCAAAATCTTTTTGCCTTTTTTTTTTTTCTTCTTTGAATTTCTCATCAAAAACTAATTTCTATTCATATTTGAAAATGAAAAATGAATATTATTATTGATTTGTTGAAGAGATAAAATTGACATCGGGTTGGATAAACATATCGTTGAAATTTTGCAGAAAATTTTAATGTCACATGAGAAAGGGTGAAGGCGAAGAGAGAAGATGTATGAAAAAAAAAAAAAAGAAGGAAAAATGAATTTGTATGATGTCGTTGTCATCAGTTCTTTGCTTTTCGTTATATTGATTTTCTTCCTCGTTTTGTCAAGTTTTTTTTGTTTTTGGAAAAAAAGACAACAGTTTTTTTTGTCATGTAAATATTTCTTATTTTTCCTTAGAACTTAAGTCATTGATTTGACCAACAGACTTTCTTTGGTTATTTTTTTTCTCTGAACTAAATAGAATTCAATAAGTCATGAAAATGCTATCTAATGACTTACTAACTAACTGACTGACTGGCTGAGCAGTTGAACTGCATTTATTATTGGGGAGAGTAAGTAGGTCTTTTTTTTTTGGATTAGATTGTCCAAATGTTTTCATTTCGTTTATTTGAAAGTCAAAGAAGAAGCAAGCATTTCTTCCCTTTCTCTTTTCTTTTCTTTTTTTTTCTTGCTTTTTTGGACTACTAAGTTGAAGCGATTTGACAGAGTGCATTAATGCATAAGTGTGTAGGTTTTAGTGGAACTGCAACTATATCTGAATTGCCAAATTTTGAAGTATCTATCCTATAGTTGTTGCCTGTTAGATATGAATCAAAGCAGAGAAATCAAGAGGAGCAATGGAATAATTTAGCTATCTGAATAAAATGGGCGGCTATTCATCTGCAATAATAATAGGTGTGTGTATGGGTTTGTTTGGCAGCTAGCTACCTGAAGTCAATTAGTAGAGTAGTAGTAGTTTATTCATGATTATATCGTTGTTTATAATGCTGATGGACCATGAAGATGAAGATGATGATGATGATGATGATGACATTTGATGTGCAGCCAAATTTTGGTGAGATTATGCTCGGGTATTTTGCGGTGTATTGAGAATGAGTAACAACAACAGACACGGACGGGAAAGAAAAGGCGTTCGCTGTCGGCAACAGCAACAGCACCATTTACGTATTGTTATCTCTATCGGTCGCTTTTCTCAAACAGACACACATATACACCTCCTCATTCCTCTCCCTTGTCAGGCCAGCTCCTCCTCTCCTTTCCCCGTCCATTCCGTTCTCCTCTCCTTTGGTTTTCTCCTGTCAGTCGCTGCTCTGCTTATTGATATATGGATGTATGCTCTGTGACTGTGGTATTGTCTCTCACATCCAAATATGTATAGCATTTATTGTTTACTCAAAAAAAAAAAAAAAAAAAGATGGGATAAAAAAAGAAAAACCTATTCACAGTTCGCGGTGGTGGCACAACGTATTGGCGCATTCCAATCATTGATCCTTCCATATGTCTTTATGCCTATGTACGAATTATGCGTTAGCATTTATTGCTAGTTGCTACTTAATTTTTATTTTTACTTTTTTTTTTTTTTTTTTTT